GAATGTGTGGTTACTGTTTAATACTTTAACTAGACTTTTCAAAATCATGCTGTAGCTTTACAGTGTTGCTACTGTACACTATAAAAACCAAAAAACAAAACAAATCTTAATTAATTATGTACATTAAAGATTGTAAAATGGTAAATCTTTTTTTGACTGTTGTTTTCCAGATCAGATTTTCCAAGTTTTGGTAAATTACAGATAATAAAATGACAGAAAAAAGCATTAATTTCCATGTTGACTGTAAAGAAAAACTGACAAAATTATACATAACATCCACATCAACAGTCTGTATTTTCTTACAAATGGTAATTTGTTCTTTACTAATATGTGACCATAAAATTGTGTAATTTTACTGTATTCAAACTTAATAGAACCATATGTATTGTACAGATATTTGCCATTATTTTTTGCACTTTTTCTACTTTTTCTACTGTAATCAATACTATCTGTGGTTGTAGTTGCGTGCTACAATATTTTATTCTTTCAAAATGTCTAAACTGTGAGTTGCAGACATATACCATAAATACTGTGTCTTTCATCTTTATAGTCTGGAATTAAGATATGCCGACTCAAAATGCATATAGACTGAAAACACCTAAAACAATGAAGAATAAAGGGCACAGCCAGTTATATTTTCAAGGATTGGAAACATACAGTCAAAGAGCCAATTGTATTCTATTAAATGTATTTAAGAAACCAAGGAAAAAGGAAATTTACATTCACCTTTCAGTGTAGAGTTATCAATAATATTTTAGATGCCTAAATCAAGTCACTTTTGTGTAAAAATGTTTTGCTCACATGCCACCAGTTTTTACAGGAGCCTGCTGTGAACAGTCGTGATAAATCAGTGACACTGATGTCATTGAATGTGTTCGTAAAGGTCTTTATCTTCTTGCCATGATTGTTTCCATAGAGATGCAGGGCTTTATGTTCCAGTAGAAAATTAGTCCACAGTAAGTAAACATGTGGCAAGGAGGGGCAAAAAAAAAAAAAAAAAAAAAATTAAAATTAAAAATCCAGAAACTGGAGTACAGCTGGTTTGGCAGGTTGCTTAGATTCTTATGGCACGTATAACTGTTTTAGGATTATTCTTTCTGCTGCAACCCTGACGGTATTTAACAACCTCAAGTGAAGAGCAAACATCCAAACATAAAAGTAGTCAGTGGACTTACTTGAAAATGTTTAAGGTCAACAAGTACAAGGCTTTGGTGTCTTATCGGTCTCTGTTTGAGGATTATGTCACTGTATAAAGGCTTATAGAACAATGAAATTGCTGTAAAACCTCGTGCTGATATAAAACACACAGAAAAAAAGAATGAAAGCAAGGATCTGTAACTCTGATCTGAGCTTGTCAGGAAAAGAAAAGGATTAAGAGGCCTGAAAAGACTGTTGCTCTCCTGAGAGACCCTCTTACTATTCACGCACTGAGCTCATTGGATCTTCTACCAACACTGATTCCATTTTCCAAGAACCATTGGAACCCAAAGCAGCTACTGGGTGTTTTTTTTTTTAACTTTATTTACTAATGTCCCAATTTTCCTCGCTGTGGTCTCTCTCTTGTTTTTTTTTTTACTACAATTTACAGTTCTGTATATCTATGGAAGATGAATTTCCTTGATTATGTATTATACAACAATTGTGAAGAAGTGGAATCTACGTGCCTGACATTTTTCGATGTCCCCTAAGGTGTTAACAAGACTGGAAAAAACGATGACTCTGCATATTGTAGATCCACTATTTGACGCGTACAACCTCTACAAATTAGCTGAATGTGTCTTCCAACAACTTGCTCCTCTGTATGCTGTTTTTGAGCCATGCTGCATTTATATTATCATTATTATTACTATTTTTTTTTCATTATTATCCAGTATGTTTTTACTTCAGTCCCTCTTGTTCCCTCCTCTCTGCTTCATGAAAACACGACCTCAGTTCAGCTGAAAACACTGGATTTTTGTCATGTGATTGTTGGTCACAGTGGAGTCAGTCAGTTGTGTTGCAATTTTTTTTTTTCCAGCCATTTATAAAGATTGCATACTTTTCCAAACTCGCATGTGGGTTCTGATGTTCAGAGGTCTAAACCAGAAGTTACCTCACTAACCTTAAATCCTGCTTCGTAGGAAGTTTTTCTAAACTCAGTCCAGCTTCTATAACAAGTTGAGGAGACTTCACTATTAAAGAGACCAATCCTTTTGTAAATGATTTTGAAAATTTCAAAGTTTGCAACTTTGCTAATAAACAAACAAATACATCAATAGGTGATTACTCTTAGGACTGCAAGGTGGCACAGTGTGTGGAGTCTGAATGTTCTCCCCGTGCAGCGTGGGTTCTCTCCGGGTTCTCCGGCTTCCTCACACAAGGTCCAAAGACATGTTGAGGTTAACTGGTGATTCTAAATTGTCCGTAGGTGTGACTGTGAGTGTGCTCGGTTGTCTGTCTCTAAGTGTAGTCCTGTGATAGACTGGTGACCTGTCCAGGGTGTCCCCTGCCTTCACCTTAAGTCAGCTGGGATAGACTCCAGTCCCCCGTGACCCTAGTGAGGATTAAGCGGTGTGTAGATAATGGATGGATGGATGATTACTCTTAAATAAAAGACGATGTAGCGTCTAAAGCTGAAACATGTTCCTGCTCAGACACGACTCTTTGCTCTCAGATGGTCACTTGGTTACAGCTCAGACATGTACAGTGGAGTGTCGTCTTCATGTGTGCAACTGTGTGCGACAGTTTCTGCTGCTGCTCAGTTTTACTTTCTGTCCAACACGTTTCCAGCTGTGCTCCTGTCCTCAGATTTTACCGTCTAACTCTCTGTAGTTATACACTTTTTTCCTTTTTTTTTTTAAATTTCTGGCCTTTTGCATGATTTGCATTTTCCTTTGCATGCCACTTATCCTCGGCTTCTGTGTGTGTGTGTGTGTGTGTGTGTGTGTGTCTGTGTGTGTGTGTTTCTTGCGTTGAGCAGGATTGGCTGGATGATGAACATGTCTGGCGGAGCCCCGGGGGACGAGCTCACGGATGAGGAGAAGGAGATCATCAACAGCGTGCTGGCTCGGGCTGCCATGATGGAGGCCACGGAGCAGGAGAGGATCGAGTGAGATGGAAAACTGTTGTCTCTGTTGCACTGAATCACAGCAGCCGACCGTGCACACATGCTCACTGAGTTGAATGGATATTTGGTGTAAAACCTGTGCCAAGTTTGTGTCTGTTTGCTTATACTTATTTGCATGCGCTCACAGGCGTCTTTCCAGTCGCCTGGATAATATCAAGAAGACGGCGTGTGGTGACGGACAGTCGCGCTGTCTGCTGTGCGGGGAGGCCTTCGGACCACAGGGAGTCACAGCTGTCCTCTGTGTGCAGTGCAAAAAAGTAGGTGCTTGTTTTTTAGTATTTTTTGCCTAAACTAGGAAAGAAAACCTTCACTACACTGTCAGAAAGTTTCCAGAGAAGGAAAGTAACATTTGCTCATTAAACATACTGACTTTCAGGTCTTTTACTTGAATGTTTTATGGTACTTTATCTTTTTACTTCTACATTTTAGAGGAATTAACTTTTATTTTTTCCACTTTAATAGATTTATTTGACATTTTTGACAACCAGTGTTTCCAAAGAAGGTGGAGAATACAAAATTAGCATGATCCATGGTGAAACAATAGACAGGTCTGAGTAACACAGTCTTTTAGTGGATTTCAAAGGCATTTTTCACAATTCCACCATTTAGGCAGAAACTGCAAAAACAAAAAGAACAGAAACATCGAATTGACAATTTTCTGATGACCATTGAACATACCATGTGTGAGGTGAGGTTCTAGTCGTAAAAATCAGGGGTGCCCAATCCTGGTCCTCGAGAGCCCCTATCCAGCATGTTTTAGATGTTTCCTTCTTCCAACACACCTGATTCACATGATCAGCTCATCATCAAGCTCTGCAGAAGCCTGATAACGATCCTGATCATTTGAATCAGGTATGTTGGAAGAGGGAAACATCTAAAACATGCTAGATAGGGGCTCTCGAGGACCAGGATTGGGCACCCCTGGTAAAAACAGATTAATCTAAACTTAAATTTATCTTTAAAAAAATAAATTCCCACAAAATTCTTTGCTCCTCTGTGCAACCAAAACGCCATGACTAACTCAGCTGCAACAGTCAAGCGTAGAGGTGTAAAGGTTGTAAAAACGTATGTCAAGCCACAATTTTTTTTTTTCATTATCACCTGTGTGCACCTGGAAAAATGTTGCATGTGTAAATTCCAGGTTTTTAAAATGTTTGTAACATAAATAATCAAAGAAATGCAACTTTTGCTTTTATAAGTAAGACATTTTTGAAATCTCTCTTTTTCAAGCCATGTTTCTGCCGTTTCCATGGAAGTGCAGGATTCCATATTGTAGTGAGAAATTAAGCCACAGTGATTAAAAAATGTAACAGGAGTAAAAAAAAACCACCCAGAAACTGCTGAGGATTCAGAGGGTTAATGGAAACCATACCAAGCCAAAAAAAGATTTTAACTAACTTGCCGGTTCGTGTCCCAGTGAGGACACCTGGGATCTTTCTGTGTGGAGTCTCCATATTCTCCCCGTGCAGTGTGGGTTCTCTCCGAGTTCTCCAGCTTCCTCCCACAAGTCCAAAAACATGTTGAGGTTAATTGGTGATTCTAAATTGTCCGTAGATGTGAATGTGAGTGTGCTTGGTTGTCTGTCTCTAAGTGTAGCCCTGTAATAGACTGGTGACCTGTCCAGGGTGTCCTCTGCCTTCACCCTAAGTCACCTGGGATAGACTCCAGCCCCCCGTGACCCTAGTGAGGATCAAGCGTTGTATAGACGATGGATGGATGGATCAGAAAACATAAAATAAATTAATAAAATACAACATTAAACATTCAGTCCCTTTTTCACAGACGTCTATCACATTTCTACTAAACAATAATTCCCCCTCTAAACTACATAACAGCTATTTACATTATTTCCAACTAACTCCCCACAATGAAACAAAAGAGTCCCCACAACAGTGAGAGAAAGTGATAGTCTGGGTTCTTTGAACTGCAGCTGTATGAGTGACTTATTATCAGTCAGTGTTACCTGCAGTAGATGATGGTTGGTGTGCCTGCAGTTTGGAGAAGCAGGATGGAGGAAAGTCCATATTCTACTAATGACAGTATTCCATTTGATATATTCACTGTGTGCTGTGTCATGTGAAGTTTTGTCGGAATTTGTGCTGGAAGGCCAGCGTGACCTCGGTGTCTCGGTGTGCAAAGGAGGCCTTATCTCATCTCTTTTATGGATGTAAATCAGAGAGTTTCAGGAAGGAAGAAAGGAAGCTCAGCCCACACAAGAAACACCGTGAAGCCACAGTTTGCCTCGTTAGTGAACAAAGCTCCATGAAAACCTAAAAGGCTGCTGAACCTCAACCTTTCATTCCTGCTGGAAGCTGTATGAGAGGTGAACTCCCTTATCGGATGGAGTGTGACTTTATAGCTTTGGCTCTTCTCTCAAGAGGGTATTAGTATAGTTTATGGCAAAAAGAATTTTCATGGACTCTGTTCTTTGTGGATTCACTTTTTGGAGATTTTCTAGTTACAAGTAAAAACACTGAAAAAGTTACATTTACATTAAGACCATAGAAAAAAAAAAACTAAACTCAGCAAGACAAACAAGCAAAAACAAAACAAAACAAAACAACAACAATAACAACAACAACAAAAAACAGGCCATAATTATAAATAATGACCACATCAAAATCTGTACCATAACAAATAACATATTGTTCTTTTTCAGCATTTCATCATAAAATGACACAAGATATTTTCATCATTTTTATAGTCTTTGAACATAGCAGTATTGTTTTGCAGCCAGATTTACTGCAATGTGGCTTTTGTGCATGAAATAATATTTTCCGCAGTCTTAATAAGTTATATATTGACCTCATATGACCTCATTTAAAAGATACTATCACTTTAAGTCTGTGTAGCAGAACTTTTTTGGTCAGTTTTTTCTTTCCCAGTAATCTTCTTGCAACCACTCAGATGTATGTAGGGACCCTTTGGGGGTCCTGAGCCCTAGGTTGGGAACCACAGCCACTAAACCAGCTGATTAACTGTAAATGAACATTAAAAGTAGCTTTACCTTCATTACAGGGACATCTGACTGCTCTCACTTTTTCTGACAATACTTACATACTTCTGGTTGGTATTTACTGTTTCTATAGTTCTGTGCAGAATCTGAGGTTCCCTTATGGTGGTTAGCAGCCAATGGGCTGTGAACGAACTCTTCCTGACACTCACTGTGCATTTCCTGGTCTTATGCATCACATTCTGTTTCTTGTTGCTCTCAATATGAAAGTATGGGTTAATGCCATCTGAACTGTAAAAATGTATGTGCTCTGTGCACCTGCCAGCAAGGACTGAATCTGTGAAGTCTGTTTGTGTCTTATGTATGTATCTGCCTCTCTGCAGCACATGTGCAACAAATGTGGGATCTGGAGCAACAGCAGGACGAGTCCGATGTGGCTGTGCAGGATCTGCAACGAGCATCTCGAGGTGAGGGGAGGGAACGGGGAGGAACTGATACAGTCACAGGGCCAACCTATGCCATGAAGTCCTTACTCTGCCACCTGAAGCTAAGCCTTTCTCATGATATGATCCATTTTCTAGCTTTTAGCACCGAATGGCATTTCACCGTCCACTGGCCTGGAAAATTAGCTTTCATTGATACCTCTTCAACATCCAAAATGAGGAAAAAGTGCTGATTTATTTCAGTGCTTATTTAATTAAAAAAATTACTGATTGTACTTGGACTATCACAGGCCTGAAATATAAGGTCTATCTTCTGTTTTTCATTCTAACACTGTTACACAATAGCGTTTTGATGATGCTGCTGTGTTTGCTGAGGTCTCTGCCTCAGGGAGCCCACACTCTTTAAATAAATACTCTCTCCTGTCAGTCACACAGAAGAACCTCTCTGTAATGCAGCACATACAAAGTGTCCATGTGTCTAACTCTCCGTAAGACACAGGAATGAAGTTTTTTGAGTGAAATCAAACAGCTAATCAGAATATGAACCACTAAGAGCTGGAGTCAGGAGACAACTTGATACGGTTTCAAACTTACAAAGACAAGATGTTTTAAGTCTCACTGTACCATGAGAAAATTCCTCTTTATGCTACTCTAGTGTCAGGAGAGTGTCATTCGTTGTCTTGTTTACACACAAAGAATCGAAGGGAACGATTCCCACCATGTAATTAAATGCACATTTTCCTCCATCAGAAAGCGAGCCATCATCTTTGACCAAACCCTCTCCTTCAACCAACATGTTAAACACATCACTTACAGCCTTCTTCCATCTCAAAACATTGCCCGCCTCCACCCATCCGTCTCCTTCTCAGCTGCGTAAACTCTCATCCACACATTCATCAGATCCAGACTCTACTACTGCACCCGTCCTCTCTACAGGACATCATCCAAATGACTCAAGGAACTTCAATACATCCAGAATTCTGCTGCCCACCTGCTCACCCACTCCCACACAAGTGATCACATAACCCCCATCCTTCAGAACCTCCACTGGCTCTCCGTCACACAGCGAACCCACTTCAAAATCCATCGTATCATCTAAAAAGCTCTCCATAATCTGTCTCTCTCCTACTTGATTGAACTTCTTCACTGCCACACTGACACCCGTAATCAGTGAAGTAATCAACTTAAAAACTTGTGTTTATGCTGCCAGTCGTTACATGAGTGGTAACTAACAATACCGTTGACTGGAGAAGAAAAGCTTATTCCTCTAACTCAGATTAGGTTTGTTGAACATCATTTCTTTAGAAGTTGTCATAACTCAAAAAACTATGTCAGTTGTTGCGTTAATTTGTATTGTTAAGCCTAAACATTAGTTTTAGAGTGTACCAAATGCTTTGCCAAGCCTTGGTGAGACAGGCACTAATTTTAAGTTGAATACTCGTGAACATTAAATTATTGTAACTAGTTACACCACGGTATTTTAAAATGTTTTTTTTTTGTTATGTACATACATACCAGGGCTGCAAGGTGGCTCGGTGGTTAGCACCGTTGCCTCGCAGCTAGATGGTCACCAGTTTGTGTCCCGGTGGGGACACCCAGGACCTTTCTGCATGGAATTTGAACCTGAATTTTGCTTTAAATCAACGAACAGAAATTTGACTTTCAGTTACACACAATATCAAGTTGATGCAACATTTTTGTGTCAACTCAGACCATCAAGATAATATTTGCAACTTAGAAGGTCTATCTAAATAAGAAAAACGAAACAAAACAGCATTTTTATTGTTGTGGTAACATCCATCCATCCATTATCTATACACCACTTAATCCTCACCAGGGTCATGGGGACGCTGGAGCCTATCCCAGCTGACTCAGGGTGAAGGCAGGGGACACCCTGGACAGGTCACCAGTCTATCACAGGGCTACACTTAGAGACAGACAACCAAGCACACTCACATTCACACCTACAGATAATTTAGAATCACCAATTAACCTCAACATGTTTTTAGACTGTGGGAGGAAGCCGGAGAACCCGGAGAGAACCCACGCTGCACGGGGAGAACATACAAACTCCATGCAGAAAGATCCTGGGTGTCTTCACAGGGACATGAACCGGCGACCTTCTTGCTGCGAGGTGACGGTGCAAACCACCAAGTCACCTTGCAGCCTGTGGTGGTAACAGGTTCTTGGAAATACTTTTTTAGAGTGTAATAAGTCAAACTCAACTATGGCTGCTTGATGTTTCAACTTCAGCTACTCCTCTTTGCCCAAACTTGGGTTTTGTGACTTCATTATCTGTCCAGTCAGAGCAGTGAGCCATGAAGCCCAAGCTTCCCTGTGGATAAAGAGTCGGGGACTGTAGGGCCATTTGAGTTTACTGATGTGTTTGTAGAATAGGAATTACTATGAGTAACCTAAAGTGAGTCATTTCCATTCCTATTCACTGCCCTGCTTACGCAGAGATGAACTTGTTACATTTTTTTCTGCAGATGCAGAAGCGTTCAGGAGCTTGGTTCTTCAAAGGAAGACGCCAACAGGGTCTCCCGGCTCCTCTGCAGCTGTCCAGACCCAGACAGTCGAGCACAGAAAGCACAGACTCTGGTCCAGGAGTAAACGGTGGATCTCAGGAGCCTGCAGGGCATCAGGGACATGGTAGCCTACACAAAGAGATTCCTTTTCATGTTTGTCCATGGATTTGCAACTGCTAAATGTTACAGATGTCCTTAACTTCCCATTTTGATCATATTTAACAAAAACATTTCTATTGTATCTTAAAGATGTCATCAGAGTGTAAACCCATTGAAAGGCACCGTCTTGTTTTTGACAGGGTCCTCCCACACAAAAACTTCACATAGTTGTACTGAATAAAAAATAATCCAAGTAGTATGACAAAAACACAAACTATAAGGGTAAACCGAGCAAAACTAACAAAAACAAACTGAATCAACACTGCCGAACAAAGTCAATTCAGTCAAAATCAAGAACAAATTCACTCCTGTAGTCACAAACAAACTATTAGAAACACTAAAATAGTATTTGAATAACGCCATGACTAATGTACATGAATACATTTACTTATAATTGATGCACTTTTTGGTATTTTTTAAGATAGTGGAGGCATTAATGATGGTTTAAGGGCCATAAAAATAAAATATAATTGTGCCTTTTGTCATACTGACAATTCTTCTTCTTCATACGTACATCTTTACACAATTGCAAATACACAATTATTTAATCAAAAAAGTGTTTTCACAACCTGTCATGTAGTGTGAATAAATGACTAATATAAGCTGTATAGCTGTTTATAGATAACCATTGTAAATAATTTAAAAGTATGTGTTGATCAGTTCACCTAAAAGTGGATTTCTCTTTTGCTATACTTTAAAAATACTTTTTCAGAACTGCTTTTGATCTGCCAGATAAGTACTGACAAAAATAAATAAATAAATAAATAAATTTGTTCTGCATTTTGAGTTTGAATTCTAGATGATCTGCACTGAAAGCATTTATTACCTTAGTGGTAGTCAAAGCTCTTTACATTGTTTCCCATTCATCCACACCTCTGTTGGTTGTTTTGTGTCTGTTTCGTTGTTTTGCATCACTTTGTGGTCATTTGGGGTCTTTACAGGTTTTTTGTGTTTCTGTCGTTGTTTTGTGTCTGTGCTTATTTGGCACCTCTTCTGGATGTATTTGTGTCTCCTTGGTTGTTGTACGTCACTTTACAATCACTTTATGGTCTCTTCCTGTGTATTTTGCTTCTTTTATTTCTGGTTGATTTCAGTCTCTTTGTAGTCATTTTGTGTGCCTTTAAAGTCAGTTTACATCGTGGACATTTGTGTCTTTTTGCATCTCTTTGTGGTGAATATTTTAACTTCACGGCCAGTTTTCACCTCTTTTGCTTGGTTTGCAACCTTCTTTAGCTATTTTGTGCCTCTGTGGCTGGGGCTCGCTTTTGTTTTTCTTTGTGGTCATTATTAGTCATTCGTGATCATGTTGTGTCTCTTTTTTTTTCTCTTTTTTTTCTGATTTTTTTTGAAGGGTGAGGGAGTCTTTTATGTCACTTTTTAGGTATCTTTGTATTTCTATTTTTTTTTCTTTTGTTTTGTGTATCAATTGTGTCTCTTTCCATGATCAAATGTCACTGGCATCCGTGTCAGTCTGGTAGGCCCGTTCAGTGATCCATCCACCGAAGAAGGAGCTGTGGTGTTGTGACCGTCGTACAAACAGTAGCTGGGCAGTGATAATTCTATTGTGTCTCCACAGAGCTCGGTGCGGAGGCACAGCAGCAGCGGCCCTGTGGATCAGAACAATGGGAGCAGACAGCAAGAACAACAGCTGACAGCTGTAATGAGACTCATTCCCGTCCAGCAGCTGTAATGAAGACGGAGAGACAAGTGTTAGCCTCCAAACCGCCTCGGGCAAACACGCAGCAAGTGGCTCCCACCTCAGGTAAAGTCACACTGCTCCTTCTAAGAATAATCCCAACACTCCTTTCAAAACACCGAACATCAGGATATAAAGAGATGCTTCATACAGTGTGAACTGTGTTTTGTAATATCTCCAGCTCCTGCTGCAGATGTGGAGAACAAGCTCCCAGAGAAGGCAGCTGTGGAGGAAAAAAGTCAACCGGTTGTGTCCAGCTCTATTTCATCTCATATTCCTGCAGCCAGAATTAATCCACCTGTAAACCCACCTGCCAACAACCCCGCCCCTCCGAGACCCACACAGGATCGAACAACACAGGACGAAGACAATGAATACGACTCAGATGACGCCAGTAAACACTTCCTTTTGATTTGTAGAAAGTAAAAGTGTCTGAAATATTTACTCGTTTTTATCACTTTAATAGACCACTTTAGGCTCCAGCCCCCCACGACCCTAGTGAGGATTAAGCGGTGTATAGATAATGGATGGATGGATAGACCACTTTAATATGTGCCTACAGCTTTAAAAGAGACAATAAAATAATGTTTATTTAAAAGTGCAAATGTCAGATATTCATTGTTTGTGTGTTTTTATTCTTGCAGCTACTCTGGGATCTCTGGAGTTCAGTCTTCTCTATGAACAGGAGAACCACGCCCTACACTGCTGTATTGTTAAAGCTAAGGTAAAAAGACGGGTGCATAAAGGACGAGACAAACTAAAACAAAAAGAGACAAGATGAGAAAAGAAAAATCTATGTAAGACAGGATAATACATAGCATGACTAAGCAAACAATACAAGATGTTACAAGACAAGATAAGACAAAACAAGACAGGACAAGACAGTACACAACAAAACAAGACAAGCTAAGACAAGAGAAGACAAGACAAGACAGAACAAGAGTGACAACAAAACACATTAGAAGTGAAGACAGGATGGAGCATGGTAATACAGAACAAGTCCAAAC